ACCGAAAACAAAAAGAAAAGCTCTGTGTTTCCTTCAGACCCCTTTCCAGCAGCTGGGGGACCCTCTCCAAGGGTTGTGTTTCAGCAACATTAAAACCTTGCACATAATTAACTGATGTTTGCTGTAGAGCTGTGTTCATTCCTTCTTAACGAACCAAAACCCACAGGATTTATCCCGAAGCTCCCTGTTTCACTGGGACAAAGTTTCCTCTTCATTCCCCCATGGCTTCCCAGCACACTCCTCTGCCTTTTCCAGCCCTGTGAGCCCTCCAGCCCAGCCTTTTCCTCATGGTTATCCCAGTGGGTTGCTGGCAAACCCAGGGAGGTCAATCACAGGAGCCTCTGCACATCCCTGCTGGCTGGGATATGACCAGGGAAGAGCCTTTTCAGGATGCTGGAAGCGCTGCCAGGGGAAAAAGGCTGCAACCATCCCTGCTGGCTCGGGGCCTGCCTGCGGAGGAAAAACCTTGGCAGCGTGTGACGCTTTTCTCCAAGCACTTGAGCTCCGCTGGGTCCAACTGCGGGGCCTTTGTGCGAGCGGCGCCGGCCCCGCTCCGCCCGGATCTGCTCTGCCTCGGGCACAGATGGCTGCCCTGGCACAGGGATGGGGCTGGCAGTGGCACAGGAACGCAGGGAGAGTGCTGGAGCCCGACCCGCTGCCTTGCCAGCGCCAGCTGTGCTCTTTTCCTTCTCTTCCTCACCCTTCCACTACTCCCATCCCATTCAGTGTCTAACACCATCCACATTCCCATCTTCATCCCATCCTCTACCTGTCCCCATCCCTGTCCCATCCCATCCCATCCCATCCCATCCCATCCCATCCCTGTGACAAACAGCCCCCCAGTGCATTCCCGTTATTGCTCTTATTACGGAGCCCGCGGGACTCGTTGCATTCCACGACAGCCTAATGGATCTTCCAGGCTCCTCTCCTTGGAAACCAGGTGCAGACGAGCCAGTGGATGCAGCAGAAAGCCTGGCTGTGGGAAAAGCCCAGCGCCTGACCAGGAAAACCTGTTAGTTATTTTGGATATACTGTAGGGAAAACAAGGATAAACTTCCCAATCTTGGCCACAGCTGGTCCAGCCAAGGTTTATGAACAGGAATTGCTGTTATCCAGCCCCTTCCAGGCTGGGGGGGGGGGTCAGATGTTCTCCTTGGAGTGGAAATGCCAGAGGAGGAGGCTGAGTGGGATGGGAAGGGTGGATGAGGCCAGGAATGGGCTGCAGCAATGGGAGAATGGGGTGTGATACTGGAAAGGAAACCTGGGTTACATTGTCCTGTTCACCCTCAGCCCTGCTGAGATCCAGGGAATACAGCAAAGGCTGGGAAGAGCAGGGGCTGGAGACATTGGTGCTCCAGCTCCATCCCTGCTACCTTCTGGGGCCAGCTCGTCCATGGATGGGCAGCAGCAACTGCTGCTCAGGGCCTTGAGGGGAGTGGGAAGCTCCAGGGACGGCAATGCCTTGGCAGTGCTGGGATTAGGAGGGAGGGGATGAGTGGAACAGGGAGAGCACCCTGTCAGCACCAGTGCCACCAGCACAGCCCCATCACATGGAGCTGATGTTCTGGGAGTCCTGAAGGTGTCCTGCCTCATGCTCCCCCACACCAGAGCTCATCCTGAGCCCCACAGCAGCCCCAATGTCCCATCTCCAGCTGAGCCTGGTCTCAAACTGGAGCTGGAAGTGCTACAGATCCATCATTCCCTGCTCACCTTCCTCCAAGGGGCTTGGAGCTTCCCATTCCTTAATCAGGCCATACAGGTGCTTCCCATATGGGCTCCCTTTCCATGGGGGTTCCACCCTGGCCATGATACACTGCTCCTGCACCTGAGGTGACCCTGCCATCCCAATCCCCCTAAAGCTCCTGCACCAGGAACGCGGTGCCCCCCAGCATCCCAACCCCCTAAATGCTCCTGCACCAGGGACATGGCCACCCCCAGCATCCCAATCCCCCAAATACTCCAGCTCTGCTGACCTGGCAGCTGCTCCACTCCCGAGTGGGATCCGGCCAAGGGCGAGTTAATAAACTCGACAAAAAGCTCCTTTATGTGAAATAATTAAAATAACTCCTCCAGTCCTGATGGACATCCAAAACCATCAGCAGCTCTGCAGCTTTAATGATCTTTCCAGATCCAGAGGCTCCTGGGTAGGATCCTGCCGATCCCTCACTGCCAGCTGGCCGCTGGGAGCAGAGCAGAGCCACCATGTCCCCGTGGGCACTGGCACGAGGGTTTGATGTCCCCTCCCAGCACAGACAGGGACAAGGGTGCTCCCAACGAAACCATTCCCAGCATGTGGACTTCTGCAGGCTCTCGCACTGGGGTGGGATCAGGAGGAGAAGCAGCTCCAGCACATCCCTGCCCTATGTGAACCTCTCTGCAGCTGCCTCGGGACACACATGGAGCACCAGGAGTGACCCCATGGAGCACCAGGAGTGACCCCATGGAGCACCAGGGGTGACGCCGTGGGGCTGGCAGGCTCTGCACCCCCCAGCCCGTGCTGGTCCCACCCGGAGCAGCCCCGGAGCCAGGGGGACCCTCCCATGCTCCTGCTCCCGGCCGGGGGTGGGTTCCAGGAACCTGTTAAAGCACTTTTCCCTCTGCTGGCAGGTCCCAGCATGTTTGGCACTTCCAGTTCTCCCTGCGGGCATCAGGGCCCAGCGAAGCTGTTTAGAATTAAAAGCCTTATTTCATTCCCACTGGGATCAAAGCACGCAGAGAGGGAGGATTTTCAAACCAGCAAACCACATTTGAGCCTGGCTGGTGCACCCCAGGGCCTCCCCCATTCCCGACCCCCATCCTGGCATTCCCTGCTCACTCCAGCACGCTCTTGGCATGGTCCTGGAAGTTCTGGTTGTGCCCAAGCAGCTCTGAACTATCCTATTGTGTTCCATCTCCAAGGCTCACCTCACCCCTCTGGGTTGGATGAGTTTTCTCCAGCCTCTCTTGGTTGGTGCCTGAGCCCCATTTTAACTCTTGAGATCCCATAAACCAGACCCATTCCTTCACATACCCCAGTGGTCACCCCAGAATCCAGCTCCCACAATTCCTGACAGGACAACCTGGACTGGAGCAGGTGTGGTTTGTACCAGGCAGGAACTTCCATGACTCCATTCACCCCTAAAGCAACTCCAGGGTGAGGAGGAGCTGGCCTCACTCCCTTCCTCCTTTTCCATGTGTCTATCTGGAGCAGGCTCATTCCTGCCAGGAATGGGACATCCCTGTCCTGTGCCACCCACCAGCAGCTCCCAATAGGCTCTGCCTGCTCCGGAGTGCAGGAGCAGCCCCTCAAGCCTGAGTGGAACCCAGTGGCCCCCAGGAGCCTCCAGCTGCAGGGACAGAGCCATGGAAACACAGAATCAACTGGATTGGAAAAGACCTTTCAGATCACCAGGTCCAACCATATCCATGGAGTCCTCAACCATATCCAACCCTGAGTTCATTCAATCTCAAGTTCATGCTGTAAATATTGGGCAAAAATCTCCAAACTTTTCCCAACCAAACCAAACCCACCAGGTCCCTATAGGACCAGCCAGTGAGGATCTGTCTCAGCCAGTTCTTCCCAGATCTCTTCAGCTCAGGCTGCAGTTTCAAACCTGGGGCAGGAAGAAAGCACACGGGAGACAGCCAGGATTCCATAGGAAAAAAACCCTTTTATTTAACAATATATCAGGTTCCATCACGGCTCCATGGAGTTCAGCTGCCACAGAGCTGTTACCGATGCCGATGATATGCTACTGGGCGGGAGAGCTGGGAGAAGGCGAAAGGAATCAAAACCAGGAACATGACACAAAGAAAGAAAATCTGCAGCGCCGGGAGCGCGGCCGAGGGGATCCCAGCACCGCTGGAGCCCCACCAGGAGCCGAGGAGGATCAACCAGCACAGGGATGCCAAGGCTGGAGCCAGGATATGCCCCTGAAGCCGAGGAGGTGCCAGCACAGAGGGGCCTCGTTCCCTCCGTGCCCGGTTCCCAACCATTCCCGCTCGGCCCCAGCCCTGTGCCCTGCACAGGAGCACACCCGGCTGCAGCTCCGCATCCACCTCTGGGCTAAGGGCAGTGAAGGGCGGACAGGGAAAATCCGGCAGCCCGGTGCTCCGGGGGTGGCACAGGGATGGGGCAGCGGCAGCCCCGGCTGGTTGATGGCAGGGCCGGGCCCCTCGGGACAGGGGACGGCGCGGATGTGACGCTGTGGGATGTGGAGGTGGCACAGCTCTGAAATGTGGGAGCGCGGTGAGGACGTGCAGGGTGTGGTGCTGCCGGAACGGGATGGAGAGAGGGATGGAGAGGGATGTCCGTCCCTGCTCCAGCACCTCTGGAACCTCCCAGGAACACTCTGTCGATATAATGCAGGTTCATAGCCCAGCTTCTGGAAGCAACTGGGAGAACTAGTCCCAGTCCCTGAAGCCTTCCAGCTGCCCACGACAAGTGCCACATGACACTGGAGATGGCTCCAGGGATGGCCACCACCCCTGGGCAGGGACCCTGCACTAAGGAGAAGCCACCCCAGCTCAGGCACCAAGAAGACATGAGGCCATGGTGAGCTGGCAAAATAGGCAACCAGGAAACAGGGATAGCTGGGAAAGGGATCTGCACCAACAGCAGCCCCACAGGCCCAGAAAAGCAGAACAAGATCTCAGGATCCTGCATTGAGTTCTGCATCCCCAAGTCCGGGACTTTTTGGTTAAAGATAAGCAGATAAATTTGATGCTCCTTTAGGTCACCATGTGTCCCCAAGTCTCTGCCCTTAGCCAGGGCAGGGCTCAGAACTCTGGGACTCACTGGGATTGAGCCACAGATTTTGGGATAGAATAGAATCCCAGATTCCTGCCTCACTCTCTGCTTGGAGCCCATCTGATCCTGCATTATATCGAGGGCAGGTCCCCAGTCCCAATCCCGGCAGTTCCTACACTCCAGCACAGCCCACAGGCTCCAGGCTGAGCTCTATGACAATGTTTTACACCCGTTCTTGTGGTTAAAATTTCTTTTTTTTTTTCATCTTTTTTTTTTTTAAGTTCTCATTTGTTTTTCTAAGAAAAAGCAACCAGAAAATAATTCGGAGTTTATACAAAACATCTTTACATTATTTTTTCCAAAAAAGACTAGTATTTACACAAACAAAAGGAGGGGGGGAACAAAAAAAATCCAAAAAAAAAAAAAAAAAAAAGGAAAAATCAACCAAATTTCAATTCTTTCCAAGAAAAGAACCCGAGGGACACACTCTGATCCAGGACCCAGCAGCCCGAGGTGCTCAGCAAAAACCATGAGTTCTGATTTCACCATTTCTTCACATATTTACAAGGTTTTGCAGCTGTTCCCAGCAGCAGGAGTGGGACTGATGGAGACCTCAGCTGTGGATGGCCACCATGAAAAGCCGCCAGCACTGTCAGATCAATTCTGGTACAACCTGTGGCCAGACTCTGTCCCTTCTCCACCAAAACCAAACCAAAACTACATCGTCCCCTCACTTCCCCTTGCACTCCGGTCACTATTCCTAACAGATTCCACTGTCACTGTCACCACCACCACTGCCACCACCACCCAGCCAGGGCTCTGCCCACTTCGGGAAACACAGGCTAAGGTTTGGCAGGGGGAAGAGGGAAAGGGGATTTTTTTAAGACACGATTCTCTGGGATTTCCCCATCGGGGAATGGGGGTCCTGGTGGGGGCGGCTCCCAGGCCAGGATGGGCAGTGGATCCCACAGAGGAGAGAGGGATGGAAGGTGCTACACGAGGAAGCAGTGCTGGGATGGGGAAGTGGGGGGAGCACCTGCTGGGGTGCATCTCTCCCGAGGGAAGCAGCCAGTCTGGGCCCTGGAATCAGAACCACCTCAGGATGCCAAGGGCAGGAGGGGAGCTGGGACACCCCGCTCCGCTCCAGCCCAAATTCCTGCCCTAAACCACGAACCCAACAATGTGACACCACAGGATGCTCCCATCCCGCTCAGGGCCAAACCCCAGCACAGCAGCCGGGCCACTGGATCCCCCCAAGTCACCGGATCCTCCCAGTCCATGGTCCCCTGTCCCTGCTCTGCCCCCGCCCCCGCCCGCTCCTTGTCAAGGCACTTTAGCAGAGCAGCTCCCTCGCTCTTTGGGCACTTCCTAACGCGGGATTCGGGGCCCTGGGGACAGGCGGGAACAGCCCGGGCAGGAACAGCCCTGTCGGCCCCACTCCTGCTCCCTGAGCAAAAGCAGCTACTGCTGGAAGGAAAAGAAAATGAGGAAGGGGGGACAGCCCGAGCACAGGCAGTGACAGGGCACTGCCAGCCCCACTGGGCTCACTGACATCCGCCGTGGGGCTGGTGGCTCCTCCCAGGAAGAGGAAGCCTGGAATGATCCCACCAGCCAGGCTCAACCCCTTCCAGTTTGGGGCAGGAGATGGGCAAGGCAAGGGCAGGGGAGCCCGGGCTTGGGACCCCTGGGAGGTGGCAGGACAGGGAATGCTCCTGCACCAGGAGCAGGGCAGGAACAGGCACAGCAGGGGCTGGTCCCCAAAGCAGGTCCTGCTGAGGGGCACTGGATTCTTCAGGTAAACCAGGAGGATGGAAAAGCCTTTGGCTCAGCTTCCAACCAAACCAAGCCTGGTGCTCCAGCCTCTTGGGGGCTTCCAGTCCCAAGCACCAGCCTCCTCCTGAAACCCCCGGCACAAGCTGCAAGGGAACCTTTGTTTTCCAGTTTTCCTTTCCAAGGACAACCACCTGCAGTATGGCCAGCTTGGGAGGGGCCGCAGCTTCCCCCTGCCACCCCCTACTTTGCTTCCAGCAGGCTCAGCCTCAGCCTGATAGAAAGCCAAAGGCTTTTTTTCCACAGTGGGATGCTCCAGAGGGGTCGGGAAGAGCTGCCAGGCCACAGCTGCTCTGCGTGGGGCAGGAGCAGTGTCCAGCCCCTCACGCACTGAATGCTTGAGACAGGGTGGAGATAGAATTTTTTTTTTTTTCTTTCTTTCTTTTTATAAAGAGACTAAAACAAGAGTCAACAGCTACGAACACAAAAGTTTCCAGGGGCTGTGGGGGGAACGGGATCTGCCCCATGGCCGGCAGGATGATGTGCTGGAAGGAGGTGACGGCGTGTGCCCGGAGGTGGCGGGCCGGAGTCCCGCCCGGAATTCACAAAAATAAAAATGTTACAAAAAAATTAAAATAATTATAATAATAATAATAGTAGTAGTAGTAAATCGGGTTTGCCAGCTTCCTCCCTGCACAGTTGTCTGCATCTTGGCACCTTGGCAAAGCATCCTCCTCCTCCTCATCCCCCTGTGCGCTCGCTGCTCCTGGGACCGAGGCCCCGGCGTCGCTCCAGGCTCCGGGACCCTGCAGCGCTGGCGGGCACTTCCTGCAGGGCCCGAGGGGTGACGCGGGGAAATCCCAAACCACAAAGGGGAGGTGGAGTCTCCGGGTTTGCCAGCGGTGTCCCGAGCACGGAAAGGCACGGCGCCCGCCCCCCCACGGCCGGCCACAGTCTGGAGAAGAAGAGGAGGAGGCTGAAGGCTCACCCTCAGAGTCTCGGGATTACAAAAGCTGAGAACTACAAAACTAAATACAAAGGGGAGAATCAGCACGTGAGCGTTGAGCCCTCCGCTCCCCGGCGCCGCTCCCGGCGCTGCCTGCACCGTGCCGGGGTGGGGACGTTTCGCTTCCTCCCTGCGGCGCCAGCCCCGCGCCCGGCGCTCCCGCGCTGCTGCATCGGCCCTTCCCAGGCTGCTCCTCACACCTTGTAGTAAATGTTGGCTGGGCTCTGCGGGGGCATCTCCTGTACGATGTAGACGGGGTGCCCGTAGTCCCCGCTCACCTTCTCGTAGTGCGGGCAGTAGTTGTTCTCTGTAGTCCGTAAGGGGATGATGATGTCGCTGGGCTCCGAGCCCGCGTTCCCGCTGCATTTGGGGCTGGCCAAGGTGCTGAGGGACAAGGCTGCGGCTCGCTGCTGCGTGTGCTTCCGGTGCCGCTTGCGGATCTTGATCAGGAGCACAACGAGGAAGATGATGATGAGGATGAAGATGACGCAGCCAGCGCCGATGGCGGCGAACACGGCCACCTTGGAGCTCAGGAAGCCATCGCTGGGACCTTGGGTCTCCTGGCCGTCCTGATTGACGGGGCCTGCAAGGCAAGGGGAGAGGGGGGTCAGAGAGGCAACCAGATCTGTGCCCTGTCCATGCATGGATCACACCTGTGGAGCAGGGGGATGAGCTGCCCATTGGAAGCCTTCTCTGCCCCCCAAACTCAGCACAGCATTCTCCTCCCATGCTCCTAAGGAGGGGAGCCCCCCACCTCCAAGGGGATGGCACTTGCTCCCCTCCTTCCCACCCCAGCCAGACCCACACATCCCTGGGAAGGACTGGGCAGGGCAGGCAGGAGCTCCAGGCATTCACAGAGCTCCAGGCATCCACCACACGCCCTGTTCCCCATCCTGCACCACTGCTCCCCATCTCCCAGCCTATGGAGCAGAGTGTTGATCATGGCCACATGACACCATTCCAGATCTGGGGAACCTTTACTCCCCACAACAGACTGGGATGCCCTGGTGAACATGGGCTCTGACACCCAGATCCCCCCAGTCTCCACTTACTGACCCCTGGCCAGGGCAGCCACAGCCCCTGCAGGGGCAGTACTCATGGGCTGATCCAGGCAGGAAGAAAACAGAGACTCTTCCCAGCTTCATCTGATTCCACTTTGCTCTCAGAGGGATCAGAACTCAGGAAACTACCTTCAAAGGGCTCTCACAGCCGAGGACCTCACCTCCTCCAAGCCCTCTCAGATGTACTGAGAGGAACACATGGGAAGAGGAGGAGGAGGAGGAAGAGTGTGGAAACAGCACTTCCCTGCCAAACTCTGCCAGGAGCTGGGAAAACACACCCGAGCTGCTCTGCACCCTGGGCTTGGGACTGCAGCAGGACAGCAGAGATGGGCACAACACTTAGGGCAAACCCATCCAGATCCTAGACCCGGAGAGTCTGGTATCCCTGGCATCCAAGAAACAAGCTCAGCTTGGAGGGGCTTCACTGGCCCCATGGCATGCAGAGCCCCACCCCTCTCCTGGGGATCCCTGGAATACCCACCTGGCTTACCAGGCTCCTCCACTGCCGGGACCTTGCTGCGTGGGCTCTGTGTGACGATCTTCACGGTGTCATCCGACTCCTTGCTCGGCCGACTCGTCGTCAGCTGCTCTGGGATCACTGCATTTGGATCTGGGAAAGGGGAGGGAGGGATGGATGAGATACCTTGATGCAACCTGGAAGGTAGCAGCTTGTTCCCCCCATTTGTCAGCCACTCCCAAGGGGCACAGGAGCACTGGGAGATGCCCAGAGCAACAGAGCAAGGCTGAGCTGCTCCAGGGCTTGTGGGAAGCAGGTCCCCACCCTAATTCCCTGGTTTGCTGTTTTCAGAGCTCCCGTGCGTGGGCTGGGACAGGTTTCTTGCTCTGGCAGCAGGAGGAAGGGAAGGCAGGAGGCCAAGGCTGCAGCACAGCTTTGCCTGTTTATTATAAATATTGGCCCCGACGTGCAAACACAATAATGAAAAGCAGAATCAGGAGCTGCACATCCGAGTCAGGGTTGAAATGAGCCCAGGGCATCACTAGGGTGGGGAAGCAGCTCAGGATGGAGGTGGTGGGGAGCAGGAGCTCCACGAGAAGACCTCGTTGGTAATACCCTTTGTGTCCCACTGCCGCCAGAGTCCCCACAGCCTGGTGGCCTCCACAGCTGAAAGCCACCAAGCCCAATCCCTGATGCCTGGCCAGCTACAATCCCCCCCTGGATGCCTGGGAAGTCACAGGGGCACTGCCTGTGCCAGCCCCCCGAGGCACTCACAGGACTCATGGGTCCTGTGCCCAGCTCACTTCCCACTGGGATATGGCCCACAAGGTAACCGGGAACAATCGTTCCCTTTCAACCCCAGTGCTCCACACATGCGCCATGTTGGCAAGAGAAAAAAGGCAGGAGAAAAGATCCTAAAATTGAAATTCTGTCGAACTAACCCAGGAGTGCTCCCATGAGCAGCTGGCCTGGCCTCCATTTCCCTGGAATCTTGAACTCCCACATCCCCCAGAGGAAGAGGGAACAGGAGGACTCACCCTGCCCCACTTTCATGACAATCTTCATGGAGCGTGTCTGGCAGACCCCTCCCTCCCGGTTCTCCAGGCCATCCAGCGTGCCATTGGAAGTGGCTGCAAGAAAAGAGAGGGAATGTTAGACAGATTCCTAGGAGCTGGAGGGGCACTGCTGGGCAGCTCTTTGCTGCTCCCTGGCATTACTGTGCAGGTCTCCACTGTCCCCTGGCACTGCCAAGCAGGTCCCAGTTATCCCCTGGCACCTCCTACCCCAGGGATTCACTCCTGACCCCCCATCACAGCCACATCTTCACACCCCAATCCAGAGCCCACCGAATTCCCAGCTCCTGCCCCTTCTAAAGCTGCCTGCAGCAGCGAGGACATGATCCCTGCAGCTTCCTCTCACTGCCACATCCACACAAGTGAGCCATTCTCCACGCCTGCACCCTCCTCCCCCTTTAATTCCTGGATAATTTCCTTTGCTCCTGGTGCAGAATGGGAACACTTGCATATGCACAGTTTAAATTATACATCTCTAATTACACCCTGTGCCTCGGTGAAGAATGTAAACTCAGAGCCCCAGTGGGCTCTGGGGGCTCTAATTGCAGGGCAGAAGTCACTTAAATTCACATTAACTTTTTGCTGGAGCCAGCATGGAGTTTTCAGCCCTTGGATCCCATGGGAGCACAGGAAAGGTCCCCCATCCTCCAGGCCTCTGCGGGGCTCAGGGCAGGAGGGACACAAGAGAGAATAAACCCAAACACAAGGATTTCAGGATTAAGCACCTAAATGGCAGATTCTGCTAAACAGACTCAAAAAACTGTTTTCTGACCCCGCCAGGGCCCTGGATGTGGTCACTGTGCCTGGCATGGAGCCAGATCTGCCCAGGGACCAGGATGGTTCCCACCCCCCATCACCTCCCTCCATCACAGCAAACACAAATCATCCCAGTGCTCCACCAAATCCAACCACAGGGATCAATTCACCCAAGGAAGCAGGGAAACCTGGGAAGAGCTCAGCAACAGCTTGGGGAAGGCAGTGCAATGGAGAATCAAGGAGTCCAGGGATAATTTTCCAGACACAAGGCAGGACTTGGCCAGCACCGCACAGCCAACACCTCCCCGAGCCTCAAGGCCAAAGCTCAGCCCTGGGGTTTCAGGTTCCCTGTGCAGCCCAATTCCTGCTTCCATCCTGCAAAAAAGCAGGTCTGGGAGGGCAGGTGACTGACAGAAACTTGGGATAAATCCACTGGACCCCGCTGGGTGTTGGTGAGGGGACAGGAAGAGGCTGAGTACGGAGCAAGGTCATTTTTCCACATTCTCCTTCCCACAGCAGGAGGCTGGGTGCCTCCATGAGCTGGGATACTCTGCAAAGCACACCCAGATCCTGCTGGGAAGCAGCCTCCAAGTCCATCAGCTCTTTCCAAACACCTCTATGCAATCAAAGCTCTTGCCTGAAACCCCAGCAAATGTTTTCCTAATCAGAAAGTCCTTGGGCCATTTGCTGAGTTATCACCTCTCCCACAGCAGGGTCCCCCCTGCCAGCGGCTCCCGGGATGGAGCCGTGCATGCAGCTGGGATGGTGCATGCAGCTGGGATGGAGCATCTAGCTGGGATGGTGCATGCAGCTGGGATGAAGCATCTAGCTGGGATGGTGCATGCAGCTGGGGTGGAGCATCTAGCTGGGATGGTGCATGCAGCTGGGGTGGTGCATCCAGCTGGGATGGTGCATCCAGCTGGGAGCTGCTGGCGGCCGTTCCAGCAGCAGCACTGTCAGCACCGAGCCCCACGCAAACGCCTGGGAATGTGGAGAAACGCCCCCGACAGCCTGCACGAGTTCTCTGGAATCCAAACAGGATGGACCTGAGCTCAGACTCCCCATAAAAACACACTGGGAGTGAACTCCAGCAGAAAGCTCGGCAGCCCAGTTCTCCCAAGCCGGAGGCACCGGTTTGGGGGTGAAATCAGCAGATCCATCCCAGCTCACAGCCCTGAAGCAGCTCCTTGAACTGTTTCCCAGCTTCCCAGCTCCATGCCATGGGTTGTTGCATCTTGAAGAGGCTCATCCGTCGAGGGAGAAGGCAGCAGTCTGTAAAAACCAGTCCCTGTGAGGCCTCACGAGGTCTGATTTATAAATAATTAACTAATTATAACAAAATGAGGTAACAAGCGAGCGTGGTTCAAGCGGGGGAAACCAGAAGATCCCACAAAGGAAGCAGTTCCTCCAAATAAGTGTGGAGACATTCCATCCACATACAACAAAAATAATAAAGGTCCAAAGAGGACAGAGGGAGCAGCTGGAGCCCCAGGGATGGACGAAGGGACGCAGCTGAGCATCCTTCTTCCCACCCCACACTTGGACACAAAGTTTCTTCTTGTTCTGGCCATGGAAATGATGAGGGAGGAAGTAGCTTTGAGAGGGAACCAAGTGGAAAAATGAAGCAGTTGCTTGAGGGAACGAAAAGAAGGAAAAACGTTTGTAAAACCCACAGTGATGGTGTTGGAATGGCCTCTGGAAACAAGGACATAAGCTTCCACAGTCTGTAAATCCACAACGGACCAGAGAGAAGCTGGATGCTCCACACAGCTGGTTGGACTTCCAAAAGTCAAAATCCTAAATCCCCAAATCCATGAAAATGGTGCAGAGTCCAGAGAGTTTGATGAGAACACGCAGGGCAGGGTGATGTGAGAGCAGCAGGTCCTTTATCCATCAGGAAAGGCTCCTCCAGTGCAATTCTCTGTGAAGCCCAGCGATGAAGAGCTGCTCCTCCTGCTCTGTTTCCTGCTTTCCCAGCAGAAGGCTCCAGGCTCAGCTCAGCCCAGCTCCAGTGGATCCAGACTGGGATCCAGGTGGCACTTGATGGATTCCCCAGGTGCCCGTGCCACTCACTGCCACGGTTAGGGTGAGCCGTGGTGACACCACCAATCCTCAGCAGATGGAATCCAGAGTCAAAAACCCACGGAGGAAAATGTTAAATCCACAGGCAAGGCAGCGGCTGCAGGAGAGCTGGGGGAGCCCCGAGCTGCAGAGAGGCACCTGCAGGGCAGCAGCAGGAGGCAGAGCTGTGACATGACAAAGGAAGCCAGGCAGGGAGCTGGGAATACCCATGGAATAGGAAATGGCAGCTCTCAAACAACGCTGTCACCTCTCCATGCCACACCAGCAAGGCTCAATCCAGCCAGCCCCAGCAACACTGAGTGTATAGGAACATTCTCCTGCCCTATTCCATTCTGGATGGATTCGTAGGTTGGCTGTAGTAGGAGAGCAAAAATAACCTCTGGCCAGTGACTTCCAAAGGCTGACTTCCAAAGGCTGACTTCCAAAGGCCGCTCCCAGCCCGGAGAGCCATCAGATGCCTCTGCCCTAATGGAGCATTAAGCCCCGGGCTGCTGAGTGATGAGGATTTAACAGTGATACCATTAACCATGTAATTGCTTGTCAATTTAGAGGAGATGCTCAGCCACCATGGAAGCCAGTCAGGACCTCCACTCCTGGAATCCCACACGCCCATCCAGCCCAGTGACACACACACACCACGGAGCTGGGACAGATGGCTGAGACCCCCAACAACCCCATGGTCTCCAAGCCAGCAATGCCATGTGCTGCCCCTGCTGCCTCCCCAGCGCCAGCACTCAGTGTCACCAGAGCTTTTCTCCCTCCCCTAAAAATATTTCAAAGGAGAGCTCGGGTTTTGGCAGATGGGAGATGCTGGAAGTAATACCTGGCAAGAGATGAAGGCAAGGGTCTCTTAAATGGTCAGCCTTGGCCAGAGTGAGATGTTTGGTTTCTCTGCTGGATTCCCTCTAGCAGGGCTGCGTTATGATTTGGGCCCCAAAGCACAATTAATGTGCTGAGACTGTAGCGAATCCAAGTCTCTTTCCTTTTATTGCTCTTAATCACTCTTCCATCTGTGCAGCTCAGCCCTGCTCCAGCCTCAGCCAGGCACAGCGTGGCCACAGCCCGGCCGCCATCCCCACCACCCCTTCACTCCTAAATCTTGCACAAGGTTCTTGTTTCCATCACTTCAGGAGAGGTGGCAGCATCCCACCAGTGCCCCATAGCCTGACCCCAGTCCTGCCGGAGCCACGGGACTGACCCTGGCAAGGGGCATCTGGTGCAGAGCAGCCTCAGCCCAGCTTGGGCACCCCTGGGCTGAAAGCCCCTCCTGGCACAGGTGAAGCCCCTACAGGTCACTCTGGAGATGTGCTCCCACATCTCTGACACTGCCAGAGATCCCTGCAGGAATGCACAAGCAGACTGCAGTTCAAATAAAATCCCAGCTCCTGCCACCTCCCCTCTCCAGATCTTCCACCCCTCGGTACCGACACAGAGGTGCTGCCCTGGAGCCCAACCCAGCTCGGGCTCTGAGCTCCTTCCCCCCCATCCCAAGCAGGCACCCCAGGGGACACGGAGCCACTTCCAGGTCACAGAGCAGAGGCACCTGCCTGCTCCACTGCACACCAACTCCCTGGGGCCTCCGGGGAGCACAGCTTGGTTACAGCCCCAGCTCCTCCTCCTCCTGCTCCTCCCAGGCATCAGGGCCATGCAGCTCCAGCTCAGGGCATGCCGTTATTGGTACTATTAATATTAATACTGGTGTCACTTCCTAGCCAGCCCCACTGTGGGGACGCGAGGTCCCCACCCTGCACACATCCCCCAGCCCGTTCCCTGAGCTCCAGCACATTGGCTGGGGCTGCTGCCAGCACTGGGGCAGGGGCTGTGCAGAGGGAGCCCACCCCACGCTGTCACACTGCCAGCGGGGCCGGCAGCCTCCTTCCAGCCTCCTTCCAGCCTTCTCCCAGCCTTCCCGAGGCAGCTGCGCCGGGAAGGGGCCCTGCAGCCCCTGAAATGCCTGTGTGAGCCAGCCCGGCCCTGTCCCGTCCCTGCACAGCACAGGAGGTGCAAGGCTTGGGTTTCACGGCCACTCCTGCCAGCTCCAGAGCTGCTCCAGAGCTGCTCCAACCACATGGAAAGACAAGAGCCATGGGGGTTGCTCCACCAGCACTGCTGACCGCGGGAGGGCCCCTTCTGCTCTCCTGCCTGGCATCAGGGCACTGCCAGGCCCAGGTCCATGCCATGAAGCCAGCTGGGATTGCTGTGTCCTTCCCCACAGCTGT